GATGGAAGCAACGGCCAACCATATCTTTGTCTAATGAAGCCACATGCGCCCTCTGCTGCTTGCGGCTGTCCTTTCATTGTCGTCCACGTGCGCGCCAGCCAGACCAAAAGTGGCTTCGTTTTGCGAACTGTGACCGGACACCAGACATCGCGGTTATTCCCAGAGCGGTATCGCCGCACAGGCCGCGTCAGCACATCCGCTGTCGAGGGGGCTGAGTCTGCATCGGTGCGGACAGAAATAACGCACCCTCCGCCTACCCACCGCCCACCGCCCACCGCCCTGCACTGCCCGCCCCGCCGTCCGCCCGCCGCCCGCCGTCCCTGGCTGGCACCGCCGGCCCGCGAATAACGCGGCGGCTTTGCTCAACTGGGTCAGTGCGTCCTGTCTGTCTGGGGTTCGCACCGGCCTCTGGGTCCACCTGGGTGACCCGCCGCGCCGCCACCCCAGCCACCGCGCAGGTGACCTGGCAAGGACGTTCGCACGTCCGACAGAGTGAAACTCAGAGACACTGTCACCTGGCTGTTGCAGAATGGGCGACCGAGTCGGAGTCGCAGAGGTCGCGTCAAAGTCGCGTCGCGCAGCCCTGTGCCTTGCGACCCTGTGCCTTCTGACCCCCTCTGCGACCCCGCACCGCTGCCTCCCTCTGCGATTCATCCTATAGCTGGCTAGATCGAGCCAGGAGCCGAAATTGTCCGACCGTCTGATGATCTTCGGCCAGCCCACGACGCGCTTCTGGTGCCAACCGACTAATTGCCGAAGGAATGTCTGACGAAAAATCGCCCCTCTGGCTGGATCGTGGACAGGAGGCCGCTGACCTGTGTCCACTAAAAACATCCGTCTTCGATTAATCGACAGCCACCTGTGACTGCTTTTTGGCAGAGCGGTAGAGGCAGATGTCTGGCCGACACGTGGGTTTCAAAATCGTGCAGACTCTGCAGATGAACACCAGACGGTTTTCGGCTCTTTGGTGTTTGTTATTGGCCGGTAGGTAAACTAACAATTGATGACAATACCAGTAAAGTACTGAAGAATGCTTTTCAAGCGTTCGACGTTTAATCAATCCAAAACGTTGTAACAGCCCCCCCCCCCCCTGCTAAAAATGGTTGGCCTCGCATTGCACAAAACGGTACAAAATGCAATGTTTTGCCTAGCTTCTTCTCAATTTAACGTTGCAACCGCTCTACGTGCATATTGACATGGAAATGATTGTATGATTTGTTGCACCTATTAACCATTTATGATGGTAGCTACTAGCTACTTAATCCGATCCATCTTCTGGTCACCTGTCCACTCCCAGCCATTTTCTACTCATTGTCCACTCATTTTCCCTGTCCCTCTGTGTGCGGATGGTAGACGCCCAGCTCTGCGGACCGCGGAAGGCGGACGCCACGTGCCGTCATTCCGCCGGAAGCACCATCCGTCGGCAGTCCTCCGCACAGTACAGACTGCAGGGTCTCTCTATTTCAACACGCCGGATCTGGGAGCTGCGCAGCTTGTCGCGTCAGCGCGTCACATCCGACGGACAATCTTCGATCAGACCAGCTGTCGTCCTGACGAGCCCCCACCGCGGCCTTGGGATGGCCATTTCCGCCTCGGTTCAATGGAACCCGCTCCACCCCCTCTACCAGCTACTCTGCAGTCAATTCTGTGCTCCTCTCTCTCTCTCTCTCTCTCTCTCTCTCTCTCTCTCTCTCTCTCTCTCTCTCTCTCTCTCTCTCTCTCTCTCTCTCTCTCTCTCTCTCTCTCTCTCTCTCTCTCTCTCTCTCTCTCTCTCTCTTTCTCTCTCTCTCTCTCTCTCTCTCTCTCTCTCTCTCTCTCTCTCTCTCTCTCTCTCTCTCTCTCTCTCTCTCTCTCCCTCTCCCTCTGCTACTTTACCCCTTCTCCGGCATTACACCATTGAATGCACTTTCTACTCTCGTCGCTCCCTCTCCCCGTCTTCGTTCATCCTTTGGAACTCGACGGTTGTGACCTTGAATTCTTTGCGCCGCCGCTCAAGTCTGGAGCGGCGGTAAAGGGGGGAGGGGTCGGTATGACGCAGATACGGCGATCGATGGAAGCGTCGCTAGTGGGCCGGGCCCGCGTTGGGATCGATGCACCAACGAACAGCTGAACAGCGGTTCAAGTCCGGCTCCGACAGGGCGCGAGCACGTGTCACGGCGACCCGAGATCAGGAGTCACGCAGGTTGCCAGGAATTTTAGACGGTGTTTTTTTTTTAGAGCCTCTGAAGCACACCAAGATTGTAATGGTAGCTTTAAGGTTGCATGTCTATTGCATGCGACAGTGCTAGTCCGACGACTTTCCTCGAAGTGTTTGGCGACCTACCACATTAATGTGGTGCCGTGTATTTTTCCTGTATTATTATCATCCCTATTTCCCTTGTCAAATTGTTTGAAAGAAAATACAGGTATGAGATGCACCCCAGTTTCCTACTCTAAATAAGGTCAGTCGTCTCTCCATGATAAATATCCGGTAATACCGCGAGCACCCCTACTATGGAATACGATTGCGAAATGGTATGCGTCCGCCGCGGGCCATGCGGTACAGTCTACATTCAGGCGACCACTACTGCTGCCATCTGTCGGCAGCAATTTCGCTACCTCCGTCCGCCCGCCCTGTCGCCAAATCCTGCCACAACCCGCAGCCTTCATGCCGCGGAGGCCCACACCTGACCGACCGTGGGTTTCACCCGACCTTGATGTGGCTGTTCCGTGTGTCGAGAGGAGGGGGAGGACCGACGTCTCACTCTACCCCTACCCCGCTCCCTCTCTCCCGCGGGGTGTGGCGCCCGTTATACCTGCTTTGCCCGCCACCCCTCAGATCAGCGGACGTGAGCCGACACCGGGGCTACCGGAGCCGGGGGCAGAGTACCCCGTGCACGGCACGGGCGGCTCGCGTGCACGGCACGGGCGGGTCACGTGATCGGCCCCCCACCAGCCAAAGGGTCGGTAAACATTGAAGTGTTATGTCGATGAGGTTGTCGACGGTGAGGGTCTGACTGTCAGCGTGACATGGTTGACGGAGTTATTGTGGCAGTTTCGCCGGGAATGTTTTCGCATTATCGATTGAATTGTAGGGTAGGTTGTAATTGCCCTCGTTTGGGTGACGCTGTTTGTGCAAATATGTTGCTTGAAGTAGGTTATGACGTTGTGCTCATCAAGTGGCACACAAGACGACTACGTCTACTTTTTCCATTGATGGCACGTCCTTTTTCTCCGCCTTCTCTGGCACTGGTGGTCGGCGATCCGGACATGTTTATCCTTCATTCCGCCATGTGTGTCAGGGCCTGCTGGCTGGCCCGCTGGCCGCTGGTTGGCACAGTAACGACGCAACGTAACGACTGAGTAACGGTCCGCGCCGGTGGCGGGTCAGTGCGACCGACCTTCCTCCGTTCCGGTCACTGCCCTCGGGCTCCGGGCCCGGTACTGCCGCTATCACCCAGATCAAACCCCCGGGCGCAGTGGAACATCGACTGATTTCGGTGTGAGTCTGTGATCTTTTCCCGTCCGACATCCGTCCTTGCTCCGGATGAAACTGGAATTTCCGAATAACAGCTAGCAAAATGCTGCGTTTGTTTATGTTAAAGGGACTATCCCACCTTTAACATGGGGTTTGAGTTGAGATAGCCAAGTTTGCGGGGAGGTTCAGAAACCACTATCTATCTAGGTTGCAACCCCCGCGTCCTCTTGATGTTGAAGAAATTCGTTCCCTTCATTTGAAAATGGGCCTTGCGCAAGGCCCTATCTTCAACATGGAGCGACCGTTAGTGTGACGTCACCTCGTTTAGTCATTCTGATTTAAATGGGTTTGTTTGTTGAAAAATTGCTTAAAACCTGGTCTGAACTTTGTTGTGGTGCCTACAGAGTAAAAAGAATCAGCTTTATGACAGTAATGTGGCCTGGGGAAGGAGGTAATTTTGGGCTGTGACGTCACATATTTGAAAGTTTGTGTTTGGAATATGGGAAGCCTAAGATGTTTAATGAAAAATAAATGCCAGAACCGTGCTCCTGGTCATCCAATCTATAAAGTCGGGCACAATTTAACTGGTTTTAACAACATTTTAGAAGGTGGGACAGTTCCTTTAAGCTGTCTGGATTCGTAGTTTTTGCGAACAGTGTAGTTGGTCACTGGGTTAATTTTTTCACGTCCGTCACTATGCGATAGCGCGAGATATCCAAAGCAGGCCTGTTTAATGTTCTAAATAACACAATCATGGCTGGCTTTGTAGTATCGTGTTCCCATGGTAACGCGATAGCTTCTGATGACATTCCTCCCACTGTTAGCGGTCAGTTGTCGGGAGAAATGGATGGTGCAAACTGAGGCGCCGCCTGCCGCGGTCAGTTTCTGCTCTGTTTATCGGTTCCACAGTGCCTGCAGTGTCAACTGGTGTCAAGCAGACTGATCTGAGATATATCTAGAGCCGGTTTGCGCTCCATCACAGGATGCGATGCCGGGGTGTGATTTTGTGTCCGAAGCAAACGAAGGTCGATTACATCATGCAGAGTTTCTTGCAAAATACGCACAAGACGAAATTAGTGGGAATAAAGATGGCTTCCTGCGTTTTGTAGCCAACCAGGAAGAAGATGCTACGGAGAGATGTGAATTGCTTGTCAGGTGGCGATCAAAATCGCAAATCACTCACTCTATTGAGCTGCCGTTTCGTGCACAACTCGCCTAAAAACCGGCATTGTTTGTCCCAGACAGGAGCTGCCAGCCGTCAATGCATGGCGTGCACAATCAAAAGAATAGCGCTCTCACCAAAACAACACCGTATTGCTTAGGAAGAAGGCGGCGGTCCGATTCCAACCGACGACCGTCGTCCTTGGTTGACCCCTGGGCGCCGATGGTGGGACGGTTGTGCAACCATCGCGGCCGTCTCCGCCACCGGACACGATCCCGAATATTTGTTTTTGGAGGGCTCCCAGGCGGCGCGCGGACGGCGGGGGTGGGCGGGCGGCCGCCGATGGGAGGCACGTCATGATATCGCCGGCGTCTGCAGCGTGCCGGCGGCGTTCGTGGCGCTTATGGCGCAGTTGTGACGGCTGCGCGCGGCGCTGGCGGGCGTCCGGGGACCGCCGGGCCGGCCGGCATTTCGGCCGGGGACCTGCGCCGGTGCGGACCTCATCGCTCCGCGCTCTACAGACGTGTGCCGGTCACTTCTCCAATGGTGTGAGGTAGGATAAATATGCTTCGAGCTTACGTGCTTCTATACGCCGAGCCCATGGAACTGGAACTTTCATCTCCCGCTTAGGCAAGACATACGGTGAATCTCTTCAGGACTTGACGCACAACGCTTGATACTGTTGGCTGACTGGTCGTCTGTCTCCATGAAAGGACCTATCCGAGTGTGGCCGCGTCGATAAGAGATGCTGGGGAAGCCTGATTATTCTACTGTTTCACGAGAGGTGAGGTGGGTGTTCATGCTGGACAAATGCGTTTCCTTATTGACAAGCAAATGCTACACAGTCGCAAGAAGCGCTGGCACTTCCCACTCTGTACGATCTTGGTCCTCTTAATTTCAGTAAGCCAGGAAGCTATGGGCATGTCTATTTTAAAGTGTTTGTTTTTATAACATGTTCTTAAGCCTGCTGGGTGTAGTCATTGCGTATTGAATCCTTTTCCCACAAAGGAAGCTGTTTACGAGTATGATCATGACGCATCCATTGCCCATGAAGGTCCGATGTCCCATCCGAGTACCTGTTATGACACCAAGTGTTGTATCATTGAGTCCAGTCCTGAACAGTAGCTCCTGGGTTAGGTGACCGGCATTAGGGCACATTGTGGTACCTTTTTCAAAGTCAAACTTCAATGAATATGACTCATCCAACATCAATGAAATTACTTGTTATGCTCAGCTGTTGAACTTTTTATTGTACCAAAGGTCTTAGATTCACTAATGCGACAACACAAGCTTATAATATATTTCCATCACGTAACCAAATGCGACACATATGTGAGACATGCATGCTTTGCAAGATGTCAACTATCATTTTATTTGCTTTTGCCTTTCAATATTTATGATGGAATGGCGTCACTCGTGCTGAACGAGGAAGTGATCATAGCAGATTCTAAGGAACGCTGCAACTTGATACGGGCACTGATACAGCCTGAGCGAATCGTCGCATTTAGTAACTGGGGGTTCAGTGACCCTCTTCATCCTATGATTTCATTGCGATCATTTACATCGTCTTTGAACCACGTAGGGCATTTTAGGATGTTATCCAGACATCCCAGTAAAACCAGGCAGCCAGACATCATTGCCACTTCCAGTCAAAAGCGGTCCGAATGTGGTCGATTATCTCCCAGCAATCCCTAAAGCTCTTCTCTTGTCGTACTTAGGATTCACAAGGACATCATATCCCTCTGAAGACGGACACGGGACAATCCTCGGTCGTTCTGACTGATTTTCTACTTGTTGCACTGAGTGGCAGATTTAGTTCTAATGCAGAGACTGCTGAGCCGTGGCAGGGCTATGCTCTGATCTCTTGTGGGCCGAATATTTGGCATTTTGCAGGCAGAGCAATAAAGCACGAATTGAAATAAAGCATGTGTTCTGTGGAGACGTGAACCGCAAATCATGTCCTCACTGAATCTACCGTCCAGTCTACGCGACATTTTCAGCTGAGCACTGCATGCAAGCCCGTTATGTGCAGCTTCTTGCATAATTGATTCTGGCAGCCCCGCCTGAGCTGCGTCCGCCAGAAATGGGTCGAGGTCGACTAAAGGAGACTGACGGGCTTCTCGGGCCCTTTTGGCCCGCGACTCCGCCGAAGTGGCCGCCTCCTTCCTATGCACAATGACGAAGCAAGGATACTATCACATCTCAAGGAGCCTCCGCTGCGAGCTCCTCAGGTCCAGTTCGACAAGAGATGCTGTGGATACCTATGCGTGCGATGATTTGTTCGGTGCACCCCGCAAGTGAATTTCTATACGTGTTTTTCCGGCTTCTGCTATTCGCTTACTCGTGAAACTAAACAGGTTTGTCTGCCTTTTTATGTCTACCGTGTCTTCATCCTGTTTAATCGCATATCTTTCCGCTCCACCCCCGGTAGCTACGAGAGATCTACGCTGTAGAGCCGCGCCGTTTCATTATGCAGTCTGCTATTGTTCGCTCTCGGGCCGGGCACCTCCCGATGATATGCATACAATGGCTGCTGGATCGTTGTAAGCTGCTTAGTGGCACACGCCTGTGTCCGACTGATAAGGGATTTGTATATTTTACGCCTCACATTTCTCCATAATCGGGTGAAGTCCCAACGGAAATGATGACATCCACTGAAGCATTATTGCATGGCGCGTCATGGCTCGATGCTCTTTACCACACTCTGAAGTTGGCAGTTCGCGCTCAACTCGGGCAACTGTGACTGACATATTTGATGGCTGGTCTTTCAGGGCTGAGCCGCCAAAGGTCAGCACGGGCTGTTTGGTAGTCAGCACGTAGTGGTCGTACGGAAATCTGACCTGCTGACCGCTCATAGTGAGTCGACGCCTGGCTCCTGGCTATTGTGGTTGCGGACGGATGTGTGCTTTTGTGGTTGCCAAAGATAAAAAGAATGACAGACTGCCTGTCAAAACGTCAGCGGCGCCGGGTGCTCGTCATGCGATACGGCAGCGACACACGGTGCACAACAACACGCATTGAAATGCAATGTAGTGCGCGAACGGGCCGAGATTCGGCCAAGGCTGCCGCAGTTTTTGTCGCCGAATATGGCCTCCGTCGAGATACGCGGAACTGCGATATATGACCCCGATCTCAGCTGCTCGTCAGTTTGTGTATGTGATTGTACGATGGTGATGCAAAAAGACACACTTTTATGCGCACTTTTATGCGAAACACCATTTAGTATAAGCCTCACTGATATGCCAGAAAACGAAATTGCGAAACCATTCTATGACTGACCCAGTCACTTCCCTCTTCCATTTTTCGTTTATTTCTGCCTTTGAACTGAGCAGCAATAAATGTTGCTCCTCTCATTTTGATTTAGATACTTCCTTGCCATATTTTCACGTCAGAGCCGATGGTGACACGGAGCCAGCCGAGAATAGCTGCGACCAAAACAGACCCCTGAGCCAAAGTTGTTATCGTGTCTGGCATCACCCAATACCTCACGTCCACCGAAACTGGAAGCATCCGCCGACATCCTGGAAAGCTGCCAACGTTTACCCCTATCGTGGTCACGTGTTGGCGCGTTGCACGTGCCGGCCGCCTCACGTGTGGCGGATGTAATGGAAAATTTCCACTTGCTACCCCATGTTTCTCATTGCTTCGCTGAAGCAACATCAAAACAGAAGATCAATAATTGTACGATTGATCTGGGTATTTCTTAAGAGAATACTTGTTAGTTCCTCGCTCGCTTAGAGTTCCCCTTCCCGGTCGCCGACCCTGCCATCGCCGCGCGTATGTCTGGGTCGTACTCCGTTCACCAGGGGTCACGAGACACGTGTCAAAGGTCAGACGGCGGGCCACGGGGTCGTCGACAGCGTGTCTGCTCTGTCTGGGTGCTGTCTGGGTTAGGCATGGTGGAGCTGCGTCCAACACTAACGTCTGTTGTGTGTGGGATGGACTAGAATATTTCAGCTGGCTGTTGTGAGGATGGCAGTTATCTACCTTAAAGGGACTATCCCACCTTTAACATGGGGTTTGACTGAGTTGAGATAGCCAAGTTTGCGACGAGGTTCAGAAACCACTATCTTTCTAGGTTGCAACCCCCGCGGCCTCTTGGTGTTGAAGAAATTCGTTCCCTTCATTTGAAAATGGGCCTTGTACAAGGCCCTATCTTCAACATGGAGCGACCGTTAGTGTGACGTCACCTCGTTTAGTCATTCTGATTTAAATGGGTTTGTTCGTTGAAAAATCGCTTAAAACTTGGTCTGAACTTTGTTGTGGTGCCTACAGAGTAAAAAGAATCAGCTTTATGACATTAATGTGGCCTGGGGAAGGAGGTAATTTTGGGCTGTGACGTCACATATTTGAAAGTTTGTGTTAGGAATATGGGAAGCCTAAGATGTTTAATGAAAAGTAAATGCCAGAACCGTGTTCCTGGTCATCCAATCTATAAAGTCGGGCACAATTTAACTGGTTTTAACAACATTTTAGAAGGTGGGATAGTCCCTTTAATCTGTGAAAAATAGAGGAGTCAGGGAAAGGCATCTTCATGACCTTCGTGACCAAAACAACCGTCCAGGGCCGACAGTGGCGTCCGTGGCTGCACGTCGTGTCATGTTAGCCTCATCCCATCTGCCTTTGATCTAGGGAAAACACCTCCCAACGACGGTGAGATTTCCTTTGATACACGGCCGATGAATATGGGCTCTTCGTCGGTATTTCGGGCTTGGCTTACAAGTTGGCTCCCCATTCATGTCGCCCATGTTTTGCTTGGCATAGCTCTTCGGGTGCCCGCCAAACGTTATCATTTTCCAGCTGATCTCCTTAGCACCGAATTATTTTCTGGCCCCTTCCCATTATATTTTTATCTGCTTTATTATGCTCGCGGGACGATGCTGATGAAACGGGTTATGCAACTTTGTTATGTTTATTGAAGTCCAGAACTGTTCAACATGTTATATAACTGTGTTGATCTGCATTCAATCGGTGAACTTGCACGAGGTTTGCTGACCAAACGTGACCTAACGCTCATTTCGTCAACGTTTGTTTTGTCGCCATATAAGCTACACTGACCAAAGTTACATTGATATTGCCAAGACTGAAACCAATCCATTACAGCTACCATCTGATGCCCCATATCATCAAATGGCTCTATTTCTAGCGCATTTTCCACCTGCTTCTACCGCTAGCCAAAAGCAGTTCTGACCTTACCGTTTGCCTTTTCTGCCCACAGATGTCGCTGGGCGCGCTGGTTCTTCCTGTAGACATGGAGTTCTACAGTCTGAGCTCCTCACCTGTGTTGTCCTCGTCGCCGCGGCTGGGCGCCGACTTCCTCTCGTCCTCGCCGCTGCTGGGACCCGACTTCCTCTCAGAGCTGCAGCGGGGCGCCGGCAGGTCACCGTGGTCCGAGCCGCGACCGCGCCTCCTCAACCGCATCAACTGCCAGCGGCGCTCGCCGGCGCCGCCCTCAGATGACGAGGAGGAGGATGAAGAGGACGATGAGGAGGAAAATGAGGAGGACTCGGCGGACCGGCCGCGATCGATCCTCATTATCCGCAGCGACTCGACTGAGGAGAGCAGGAGAGAGGATAAGAAGAGGGTCGTGTTTGCTGATGATCGAGGACAGCCACTTGTTCAGGTGAGCGGGGGCTAGAGAGGAGATGGGTTTGTGACTGATTGGGGTGGTGAACGTGTGGTCCTGTTGGGATGTGGTGTCACATGGAGCTATTTGTGATGTGACTGTTGTTGTGAGGAAGCTGGTGTGTCAGTGTCTCTGTTCATCTCTCCCGGATTTCTTTTATTTCCCTAAATCCGCGTGGATTGTCCCAAAATAATCATTCATTGTTTCGTCAGCTTCTCTATCAGCATTATCTACAACTCTTCATCATGATGACCGTCAGTGGAGCTATTAATTTATTACAGCGAGTTGCTGTGCTACATGCATTTACCGTTCAATATGCGTGCCCCATACGTCGCAGTTAAATGCTGTCCTTGCATGCTTCGGTCGCTTTAGCAACGGTGAGGTACCAATTGCATATCGATACAAACTGACCTTCAAAACGACGGCGCGACGCAGTACGTGCTGAAGGCACATTGACGCACTGAGTCACCAGTCAGGCCCACCTGGGTGTAATATGAAATTGTGCAATCCATCGAAAGTCTGCAATTTCATCGGGGCACAGATGTGCGCGATGACTGTACCGCGTGCAGAAGTAATCGAACCACCCAGCAGCTCAGCGACAGGCGCTTAGCGTATTTATTTTCTCGGACGCTGCTAGCTGCTCTGGGAACTGTAAATATGACAGATCTATTGACCCGAAACAATCTGAGAAGTGTAAATATGACAGAGAACTGTTGACCCCACACAATCTTTGAACACAGATAACTGTTCGATGCGATACCTTGTTTATCACCTTTGTGTAAACAAACAGACTGGTTCCTACTGGATATCGAAGATATCGTGCCATGTTTTCGGAGGCAATATTCATAATTTGAAAACATCCGACACAAGTTCTCACAAAAGGCACACAATGTCCGTGGAAAAGTTTTAGAGCGCTGGAATGAGGTTTGTTTAATACGCGTAGTTTCTGTGCCCTACTTGCCTTCCTTTTTAACATAAATATGCAAAGATCACCCCACTTTGTACTTTGCTAACTTGCGTAGTTTCTCTCCGAGCTCTGGCCTGCCGCGGGGCCTGGCTCCGCCATGTGCGTGCACCCAGCCTCGAGGACGCACGCACTAAGAGCCCCTCACCACGCAGAAAGAACTGTGCACTGTTGCACTGAGATGACCCGGCTCGCTGGGGGCGGCGGGCAAAGCGGCACTCCGGGACAAGCCGGCGCCGGCTGCTGCATTAGATCCGCGGGTCCGTGATTCAAGAACGCGATTCCCAGTCTGAGCACGTCGGCTGCACGCCACTTACCGGGCACCAAGACCGGCTCACAGCCACATGAGTGACCACCGACGTCCTTTAGCGGCTCGCTAAATTATGCATGAGTCCGTGCAAGGGAAGAGGTGCAATTACCTGTAAAACGGGTCAGGCTGGTCGGTTAGGTTGGGTTTCGTTTTTTCCTTAGCTTTGGAGATGTCGGGTTACGTCGATTCGTTTTTGCGATGACCAGAAAGCCGTATCGTGTGCTTATCCAATATTCTGGGGTGGGTGAGCTCTAAATTAGGGTCACTTATTCTGCGCACGGCTCTCGATAGAGCAGCACGTTGCAGTGGGTACTGGATTGCAGAGTTTGCAGATCTTCTGGGGGCCTCCTGGCCGCTGTGCGATGACCCGTACTGCGTAGCGCAGGAACTCTCCGGGGGTTCAGGGCCGGCTGTGAAACGAACCGCGGCAATTTCTCTCAGGACAGCCACGCTGCTCAGCTCTCCGCCGCCGCTGGCACATACTCCATCCCCTTTGGCTTGATAAATGTGACAGCCGATCGGGAGCTGGCGACAGACGGAGGCCTGGCCGCCGGAGATTACAACACCGCCACCTCCCAACGACTGCCGCTCGTCACCCACCGCCCGCCGCGTCTACCGCCCGCCGTCCACAGTCCACCGTCCGTGACAGTGTCCACCGTCCACCGTCCACCGTCCACCGTCCACCGTATAGTCCACCGTCCACCGTCTACCACCCACCGTCCACAGTCCACCGTCCACCGTGTCGGCTATTCCGTTCCCCAGACGCATACCTCACTGGGCGCAGCGGACGGGCGGTGTTGACTCAAAAACACCGGGTGACAGGCCCGATTGGTGGCGTGGTCGCCCCAGTATCTGGGTGGTAACAGGCCGGGAGAGGGGTGCCCAAACCTCAATTCGACGGCTGACCACGGGACAGGCCGCTGGGTGCCTGCCAAATGCATAGCACGGACAGGGGCAGCTGTCTGGCTATTTATTTGACGGAGCTGTTTTCTGTCTGCCGTTTCTGGTTGTGACTGGTTATGGTTCGAAATTTGTTCACTTGCCAAGGTTTGCGCTGTAAGATGGAATGCCGCCTCTTAATGGTGTTTGAGTTTCACTAAATTAAGACACTTCAGTAGCGTGGATGGTTTAAATTGATTGGGCATTGCGAGTTCAGTCACGGTAGCCATATGAGTTTCTCGCTAGCCTCAGGCGACCCAAGGCCTCATTGTGCAGTCAATGCAGTCATGTGAACCGTCGTGCAATATCTCACCCGTCTATTCATGGTGTGCAGCCACGCTAGCCATCCGTTCAGCGTGAATGCATCGACTTATCTATTGCTCCCGGGAGTGTAACTCATTCCCTTTGTTGGCGATGGTAATACTCCGTACTACGAGGTGGCTGGAATGAAGTGCCGGAGGTGGGGCCGCCATATTGGATAGACCGGAGCTCGAATGCGCTGCTGGCTCGCACAGTGACCCGGCGGCAGTCATCGATTGCTGCTCTCCCTACTCTCAGACGGTCGAAGGGTCAATGGCAGCGTGCCCGAGGGGAAAAACAGCTACGACGGGCTCAACGCTTTAAACAACCATGGAAACTAATGAAACTGTGGAATGATAAATATTTGTCCTTCACGAGAAATGATTCCAACTTCTTCAATTGAAAACACCGGCGTTTTTGTGGAATGCATTAGGCTGTGCAAATACGGCTGGATTTCGGTGGCTGTTTTCGCTTCTTGTCTCGGCCATCGTCCCCATGTTTGCTTTCGTTCACTTGCCTCCTGTCGCCGCCATTCCCGCCCGCTGGATCGTCCCTGCGATCAACGGGCCGCAGGGCGGTGACATGTTCAAACACTGGCCTGAGCTCACTGACCGGGCGTCACGAGTCTGTCCTGTGTGGCCCTCTGCACTGGAGACGATGTCGCAACCGCGGCGCCGGCGGTGGTGCGGCTGTTGATTCTGGATCAGCGGGGCCGTCGCCACCCGATGGTCATAATTTGTTCGCCGGTGGCCAGCCGGCAGGGGGGTGGAAGGGCACTGGGTGATGGGTGATATCAACTGGTCACGAGGTTGGTCTCTGGGCCGGTTTATGCGCAGTGCACCGCCTCAGCTCCCAAGGGTTGATGTTATTCTAGCCTTGAGAGGAAGTGTGTTATGGATTCTTTCAAACATTTATGGGCGGGTCGTTCATAGGGCTATTGCGCAATGGTCTCTAGCTGAGTGAGATGACATTGTGTCATCGACGTATGGTAAGGGTTAGCTAGCAGCTATCATAAACTGGGGTGGCTTACCTAACTGTAACGTTTCGCAAGCTAACAGAACCCAGATGGGGTCATATACAATCAAAAGTAATGGGAACATAGGGAAGAGAGTGTCTGAGACGGCTTGCAGAAGAATGCCCCCGTTGTTCTATATATATCCGAGTTTGGTGAAAGGTTTGACAGTTTTTAGTTCGATGAATTTTGTCATCCTGCAAACCTCAGTCTGTCTTCACTACTCCGCCCATAGCTGCCTTCCATCTGAGAAAGTACTGTTATCTTCCGTTATCTAAATTGTCTAAATACAGCTGCACTGGCCTTTCATCGCCAATCCTGCTCCCGTTTAATGAGTAATAAGGAATGCATCTGTGCCCCGGTACCGTTGATTGGCCTTGTCAGCGAACACTGGCCATTTGTTGATGTTTGTGCAGCGCTATCATCACCTCTGGAAACAGGGGTGTGTGACAGGTGACAGCATGGCCCCCTGACCTGATGTCGCCGGCCTCGCTCCAGAAACTCGCGGTGCTCTTCCGTAGGTCGGGGGTAGTGGTCACAGACGAGCCAGGCTCGCTGTCTGGCGGCTCACCCCGTCCCGGTGCCCACCCCAGTCCGGTGCCTCGTGGAGCGCCGGGCCCGGCGGCGGCCATGGCTCGTCGTAACGTTCATCTGTCAGGGAAGCTGCCAGGTAGAGGGAGAGAGAGGCGGAGAGCGGTCGTCTATCCGGTTTTAATCTAGCTCACACCGGCTTGTTTGTTGGATCGTGAGAGGTGGCAGCCGAGGCCGACGCCTAGAGGTGAAAATTGGCTGCTTCCCTGCCGTTCAGCAGACAAACAGCGAGTCATATAGATACATAATTTATTAATCAAACTTATTATTTGAAACGTAGTTTCAAATAATGAGTGAAACCTTTGAAACTTTGCATTAGATCTAACTATGATTTATGAATAGGTACGCATACGGAGAGGAGACAGATGAAAAGTCACCATGTTTCTTGTCCCTATTCTCACCTTTCGTCGACCTCTAAGTCTACTTTTATCCGATGCGCTTTGGTATCGATTCCTAATAAATGCCGTTTTAACCCGATACCAGCCTCTCCTCGTGCCTTTTCATCTCCACCAATGGAGCGCCACTCGTGTGTCGTTCGGATCTCTTTCATGGTGTCTGAGCACGGACGACAGGTCCCTGAGGCGTGGGAAGGGTCGATAATAGGGCTGATAATCCCGGGACTTTTTGGCAATCCCGGGATCCCGGGATTTTAGAAATGCAATCCCGGGATATCCCGGGATCCCGGGATTGAGCAGTTTTTATTTTAACCTGTCTACAAAGCAGAATTTTCTTGCAATATCGTATGTATATGGCGCATCCTTACCATCATAAACACAATACCAGGCATACACCTTCACCCCGAACAAATATAAGAGCATGAATGACATTGATCATTGTATTTCTTGTTTATATTTCGAGTCAGGAATAGCGACGGTTTTTCAGGGACGTATACTCGTCGATCGTAAGTGAGAACCGTTTGCCATTTGACAATTCTTCGGCCAGCTTCGCCTTCACGTCACACTTCAGGCGAGCACAGTGTTTGAGGACACGCCGGCGGATCGTGTTGTGATGGGTTGGAAGTAGAGCACTTCATGGGCCGGATAAATCCGTTATTCACGGATAAATCCGCGGACCGGATAGGATTGGATTCTAAATTTGTTAAAAAAGAACGGATATGGGCGGGCCGGATTTGGGAATTGAAGGTTGAACCCGGATCAAAACGGATCAAAATTTTAACATTCAACATCGAAGTTAAAAATTAACCTAATGTGTTAAGCGGCAGCAGAGGTTTGATTAAAGTAGGTAATAGGCATCATTTTATGACACTCACTTGTCACAAGACTTGTCTTCAAGTGGATAATGTATGCAATGTTTGCATGGTTTTTGGAACCATGATGGTCTATGAGATGCATGGCTGTCTGGTCCCTTAGATTCATATCATCATATCATATCATATATTTAGGAATACATCCATAAAATGGGTTTTCAGCGTTCCACGTCATGTAGCACAAGTAAAAGCATTTTCCTATCAATCCACATTTGCATCACCCTTTAAAAGGCATCTGCGATACACTTTTTAAAGACAGGAAGAGAAGACGCGTTTCTCGCACTCAGCGGTAGCCTATTCCACGCTCTCACCGCCCGATTGAAGAACGACCGACGGGCAAACTCTGTGCGGGCCCGCGGCACCTCCAGCTCGCCGTCACGTGTCGCTCTCGTTTCACGCACAGACACATCAGAGCGGTGGGTGATGCGTGAGCGGAGAAGCTCAGGGGCGCTCTCGACATGGTTCAGGTTGTACATGACGCACAGGTCACGCTCAGTTATCATGTCCTCGATCACCCGCCATCCAAGCTCTCGCAGTGTCCCGGAAATGTGTTCACGATAGCCAAGACCAGTGACAATGCGGGCGCCAAAATTCATGCACCTCTGAAGTCTGTGCTTTTGGGTCTTTGTGCAGCTTCCCCACACGCACATGCAGTACTGCAGATGAGGGAATACCAGTGCCTCGACCAACAGCTGCTTTGTCTCACGCGGCACACGACGCTGCATTCTGGCCAGCCCTATCAGAACGCAGTAACATCGGCGAGTGATCGCAGCCACATGCTGCTCCCACGTCAGGCACGAGTCGATGTTGACGCCTAGGACCCTCACCGACTGCACAGGCACGACTTCCGACTCGCCGAATTTGACGGTGAAGTTGACATTATCATTTTGGCGTGAGGATCTCAAGATAAGCAGTTCGGTCTTCGAAGGTTTATCTTTAGCCTATTTTGCGTGAACCAGCAGAGAGCTACAGACAGGGTTTGTTCTACGCGGCATTTAAGCTCTGACAGGTTTCTTGGCGAGTCTGAATCTATAAACTGGGCATCGTCAGCGTACATAACAAGCCTCCCATGCGGCACGTGTTGTGACAAGTCATTGGAGAACACCAGGAACAACACTGGGCCCATTATGCTGCCCTGCACCACCCCATGCGTCACCGGCAGCCGATTGCATTTGTTAGTCCAGTTTTGGGTGAAACCAGTTATTGGTGAAACGGATTATTACGGATATTTTTTGGAAGTTTGGCTGCAATACGGGCCATGGGTGGGCCGGATTCTGATATTCAAAGAAAGGCGGATAATGGGCGGATCTGGATATGACTTGCCGGATATGGGCCGGGCCGGATCCTAAAAAGCCTATCCGTGAAGTGCTCTAGTTGGAAGGTTTTTATATCCTTTAGCAGCCAAAAGTCCGCGTAGGTCCGGTGAGGTACAGAAAACTGTAAAAGGTATCCCATCTCTCGCGCACATTCTAGCTAGGATAGCATCCAGGTCGTCATCCGTTTTGGAAACATAGTAGCAATCTAAGGTCTTCATTCCTTTTAGATGCGGTGCCGTGGTTTTAGCGCTCTCACCTTGACCTTCGCCGGACACGTTTTGCGGCGTCTCTCCGGATCGGGATGGTCCAGCAACACTCATACCACCATGCTTGCTCCTGAGGTGGACGTGAAGTCCTTTGGTGGAACCTCCAGATATTTTCAGTACTTTTTTACAAAGACGACACTTTGCTGTGTGGCCATCTTGACTTCTTAGATAATGTTCCCACACCGCACTGCCTTTAAATTCAGCAAAATCCGACATTTTGGCAAAGTTAGCTATAGCTTATCACAAAGGCACGGAATTAATAATTATTATTTATTCACTAACGGTAACCATGCCCAGGGCGCCCGGCCAGCCTCATGGATCGTCCAGCCACGGGGCACTGACAGTAACTGAGCCACCAGACGTGCTCCCACAGTCACACAGAGAAGACGGCCGACCTCCTCCCACTCGATGGACTCGAATTCGATAGTCGGCATAGTATGTCATCGTGCAAAATAATCTGTTAAACCGAGTACGCGAGGGACGTCGCGGGGAGCGAGAGATGAGCCGAGAGAGAGCTCGTCTCTCGCCACATTGTGAAGGCTGAGACGGTGTGAAACAATGTCAATTAGGTTATATGTAACCAATACTTGTGCATAACGACTTTGCACGGCGTAAGTAAGATCTTTGGACATAAAACTGCACTGTAATGCGTTGTTACTCACTTACCTTTTTTTACATACCTACTATCAGCTACACTTTATGAACGATGTTTCTGTACGGAAAATATCGGGATCCCGAAATCCCGATGCTTCTAATCCCGGGATTCGGGATTAATACAATCCCGGGATCCCGGGATCCCGATCCCGGGATTATCAGCCCTAGTCGATAACACTGTCTTGCAGACTGAGTATACAGTTACATCTCGTCTCAGATCCGCACCGAGCGTCTGAAGTCGAGATTTCGAGGTGGCGGCCGCCGACTTGTGTTGGCGAGATCAAGATCAGTTTTCGTTAGAAGATAGATATGACAGCAATGAACTGATGTTTTCTTTCAAGCTTTGTCCATGTGATGCATTTTTCAGGTCTATATTTCAGTCAGTCGGCTGAAGCATCCGCATCCCTTTGACCTTCCCTGTGTTGTAGGTATCTGCTGGCTCTGCCGGGTGCTGCGGATTTCTGGCGTACGGAATAGCAAAGACGATGTCTTATATAACTATCAGTTCATATCTCAGTCACGCGCGCACTCCACTTTTGGGACGTTTGGACTGCCCATCGCATCTAAGCACGCCACATTTCAGCTTCCAGCTCGCGAACATTCGGTCACTGACCCGTTCCTCGTTGCATATCGACGCAGTTCATGTTTGATCCCACCCAAATGCGTCATGCGACACCGTATCCATGCTTAGATCATGTGACGCATTTTCCGGTCGAGCGACGTCTGTTGGCGTCAGTGTCTATCATTGTGTGTGTCAGTGCTGTGCCATTATTTCCTGGAAGTGTTATCTCTCGTTGACAACCGACTACGTAGCTCACCCTAGGGCACATAATGACTTTCCCGTCGACTTTCCTTATATACCTCAACAAGTACACAAACATATTGTTTTACGATCGCGATGTGTTTAGATCGCACACCATCGGCAACTGTGACACATTCACTGACGACATGTTCTCCCCCTTCCTCAGATCCGCCGGATGCGGGAGCCGTCGCACATGCCGCCGCGCTGGACGTCCCGCTTCCTCCGACACGTCACAGGAGTCGAGGCGGCCTCGTCAGCCCCGCAGGAGCCCCGGTTCCGACTCGACTTTCCGCAGCCGGCGGCCGATTACAGCCGCTTCTGCGAGCGTCTGGACGCCAACAGCGTGGCACTGGAGCACGCCGTCTACAAGGAGGCAGAGGACCGGCTCACCGGCACCATCAAAGTGAAGAACCTCCACTTCGAGAAGGTGGTATTCGTCCGCGTGTCTGAGAACAACTGGCGCACGAGTCGAGACGTGGCAGCCACGTACGTGGCGGCGGCCAGCGGCGGCGCGGCCGGAGCCACCCTCTACGACCGGTTCAAGTTCGAGCTGCCGCTCACGTCGACTACGTCACGTCTCGATTTTTGCGTGTGCTTCCGCTGTCCTCTGGGCGAGTTCTGGGACAACAACAACGGTGCCAACTACGGCGTCAGTCGCCAGAAGTCTGCGCAGGCGCAGCAGCACGGTCCGCGGGACATCTACCCGCCCAGGTGGACAACTGGTCCTGCTTCTCCAGCTGGGGGGACGAGTTCGGAGGCGGGCCCTACTGGTGACGCGCTGGCCGCAGCTGCAGCGCCCCTGGCGGGCGCAGTGCGAACCAAGGAGGCGGCCCGTCGCCGGCGCCTCTGGCATGGAGTCTCAGGTCGGCGTGAGGCTGGTGCGACCGGCACCAGCACGCTTCTGTCGGCAGTGAAACGGGCCTCACGTGCGAACTGGACCACCCGGAACAACCCTGTGCCGCTGAGACTGCCGGCGATCCACAGAAGCCGCAGGGCGGCGAGCAAAAGCTGATCCACCCTTCACTAGGAAAAAGGGAGGGGCGAAAGGAGGCCCCTGGGAAGGACCACCCCGTGCTACTCCACTGGTGGGATCGGAGCATGAAAGGGGAGGTGTGGCGGTGACCAGCCGCTCTTATATGAGAGAGACTCGGCCCCAAGTAGTGAGTAGCTGCCCCGGGGAGCGGTGCTGTGAGGTCGCAGTAGACGAGCGCTCGCCATAGAGCGTGCGCCCTATGTGGAGCGCCCTAACCGCCGTCCGCCGCCGCGGGCCGGCCTCGGGCGTCCTAAGGGCACGGCGGGCTGGAAAAACACCCGATCTGAGAGAGCTGTGACTCCTCCAGTAGTGGAACGTGAACGTCCCTCATGCGTTTTCGGGACATGAGAGACAGCCCACCTATATATACACACACGCGCGCGTGGGAGCGTTCAAAAGGCGCTTTATCTTCTGTGCGCGAGCCTGTGAAGCAAAGTGCAAATCAGAGGCTGGTGAGGCCTTTTATGCATCGCTGTGCGATGCGGCGATGCAAAGTCACCCTATATATGCATACTGTGTTCGGATTCCTATCCAATGGTGGCGGCGTCGGGGAGCTGTGACTTGACTCAACTAAGATGAGAGGCATGGATGGTGTGTAGCCGTCCTAAGACGGAGCTGTAACGTCTTGCCAGTGGCAGTGTGTCGATGGTATTGTCATGTTCTGCAGGGATCGATCGGCTCTCTGGATGCTGTGTGGGGAGGAGGCACAATGTTGGTGGTGTTTCCCAGAGGGAGCTGACTATGTTTTGTAGAGTTATGTGTCCACCGGCACATTAAACACATGTTTGATATCGCGGCGGTATACGTAATGTTATCGAGCCTGACACACAAGCAACTAGGCACTGTTGGACGCTGGTCTGTGTGGGTATGTGTGCGTGTGTGTGCGTGACGCTGTCGATGGCCGGAATAAGTTTGGTGCCACCGACACGTGCAGCGCTGTGACGGTGGCAGGTTGCGCCGCCTGGAGCGACCTGTCTCATATGTGCCATGGGTAGACTGGAGAGCCCGTCAGGGCCTGCCGAAAGACGATGTTATATGATCAGCGGAGCTGCTGCCACAGTCGCCGCCGAGGTGCAATATACACAGACTCCTCTTGTAAGGGTTGTGTCACATGAGAGGCGATTGCGTGGTCGTTTCTGGAGCAGCTACTGGGGGTGGACCTCGCCTGACGGGTTTTCGCGATTTTTCGGAACGTGTTAGCGATAAACAGCTAAATGCTAGCATACCTACCTGGCCTTAGATTGATGACGGATCTTGTGACACCAACTATATCTTGATAGGTTAGGTTCCTGACCTTTAACGTCATAAGTGAACCTCGGCACGGTCCTAAAGCGTCACTAGTTGGAAACACCCTCAGTGCCAGGAACTCTTATTTTTTATAAATTTAGTTCGAACCTTTTGATAGGAAGAATTCACGACAGAGCCACCGCTAAGCGAAGCTGGTTGCGGTGACCCTGCCGTCTACCCTCCGATCGCGCAATTCCGGTTCTATGGCAGAATTTAGAGTCCAAAGTTTAACGTGCGCACATAGCCGCGCACGGCCGGTCCCCTCACTGACTTCGCCTGGCTACGGCCTGCCACCAACCGCAGCCATACTTGTCAGGAGGCCCATAAATGTCGAGCGCCCGTCGCGTTTCGAACCCGGACTGTTATAACCGGGAACGCGTGCTCTCACCACGCGGAGTCCAACGCTCTACCAACTGAGCTAGTCTTACGCATGGAGATAAAACTTTTAGGACTTACGAGTAGTGGCCACTCAAAGAATCAGAGCTTGTATATCTCAGCTTTTTCATAAAGGTCATCTGAGGTCAGGCCGGTCACTTGATCTCATCATTTGGGACTAGGGTCAAAAGTCAGTGGAGGGGGATATGGGCGCTGTCATTTTGGAGCTGGGAATGATATAAGACTAGTTCGAGCACATTAAATCGTGATATCATACCCTCTTGCAGTTGCAAGGTCAATAAGGTTAAAGTTTGCGTTGTTTGCTTTGTGTCATGTGACATTATATACGATGCGATAAAGGTTGACTGCGAGGTCATTGTTTTTGTCAATAACTTCAGATCGAGTTGAGCTATCGAATAGAGAAAGTCTCCTAAAGACTCGAAAGGACCTGCGGAATCATATATGCAGCATGGCATCATTCGACCAATTTAGCGACCTCAGTAACTGAAGCGACTGATCTGACCTTTACTGAAAGTCAACATCCTGAGTGGGCCTTTATCAAACACAAATATTTAGGTCGACGCACCTAGGCATAACGAACAGATGATGCCATACGAAGGCGATTGCAGCGGCAATTCGATTGCAGATCGTTCGCAGAAAAGTTATTTACTAAAAACTGGTCCTTTAACAAGTCATTTGACTTGACCTTCAAGGTCAACCTTAAATGAGAAAGCACTCTCTGCTTCTCGTAACGGCTCACACGCCGTTACGAGGGCGGGCTTTTTTCTCTGAAAGCTCCAGCTTAGGGGCGCAACGGCGAGGGGGTTCACGCTGATTCCCCTCCTCCTTGCTCGGCTCGGTGTGTAGAAAACTGAGGGGTTTAGAGACGGTTAAAAGAGCTGTCTAATATCTGTGCGAAATAATAAACCGTCTAATATCTCCCATTCCTGCAATAGCGATATTTCATTTGCTGCGACCTAGTGACTTGACGAATCACTTTCATGAATTAATGATCGCGTGATTACTACAGTCTTTGCAATTCAATTTAGGGCTACGCTCATTAATTTGCACAGTTGTCACGGACCAACCATAAGCGAGCCACCCTGCATCCACTGCTCGCCTGGTGACGGTCGGGTGACGGTGTCTGCTTCATATCAACACAGCCTTGGGTCAACGCCGCGACGCAGCACTAGAGGGTGGCTGCGCCGAAACCTTCCCGTAATGAATGGTTCCCGTCCGCAAACTGCACGTGATCCGACTCACAAATAGGCACTGAGGTAAACAGATGGTCGGCTGAGGCTCTGCACCGAGCAGGCAGTGAATAGTGAGTTTGTCGCGTAGAATAGCCAGCAGAATGGGATGAATGGTGGGAACCAAGTGGGAACATGCTCTCTGCTGAGGTCTGAGGATGTAGGAAATGATGGTGGACATGCAGCCGCTGCGGACGTGCAGGGTGGTCGTGTGAAGCATGCTATCGCCGAACCCTGGGACAATGGGAAGTTACCACAAGTGACTGTGTACTGACTACTGATAGCTGTGCAATTGTCAACACATTTCTTCATGGGACTTTAAAATACATAGGACTTTAACCCTCGCCCGTATTGGTGTTTTTCCAGCCGCGAACGTATAAGGGAGGGGGGTCCGTTGGGCCACCCCTTGCCGTTTCGCCCCTGATCGAGCTAGAGCTTCGCAGAAAAACGAGCGTGTTGCCCGTGACGAGAGGAAGCCGATGATACCCAATTTTAAGGTCCTAGGTCAGGTCAATGACCCAAAAGTCGGGAAAATCGGGACCTGTTAAAAAGTCGTAAAGCGTGGCTGGTGTGTGGTTTTTCGGGGTGCTGATCACGAATATCATGTTAGTTTTGATCACAGATGATGTCTTCATGCATTTAGGCAAGGTCGGGTCAGGTCAGGTCAGGTCAACATTAAGGGTATTCGTAGAAGGTGGCACTGGCAACCGCCTCTGAAAGATTCATAACATGTTACGAAGGTGCCAAAACTACTTAGTAAATGTTCATATGGTTGCTAAATTCGAATTCAGCTCCAAAAAACTGACCTAGAAACATGTAAAACTCGAAAAAGTGAACCGAGGTCATCAAAGGTCAATGACCTGACCTGACCTTCCGGTGACCTTGACACCCACCCTAATGCATGGGAGCAGCATCGTATCCCATGTTTGAACGCTTAAAACCACGAAAAGACTGCAAACGCGCGGCTAATGCGAGCCGATATACGCCGAATCGCGATTCCGGCCAAACATGGTCTCGAAAAGTAGGTCACAGGTCAAAGGTCATTAGGGTCAGGGTCATGAAATTTTCAGGGTAGGTGTAAAATTGATTAACGCGAGGGTGCTGAAAGTTTCGTCGCGATCGGCCGCTTTTTACGCGAGTTATTCGCGAAAAACCGAGGGGGGTCCGTTCGACCCCCCCCCCCCCCCACTACGGGCGAGGGTTAAAATACATAGAGCCATTGCTATCGTAGGACAAAGCGAAATACCTACGACCAGAATCCACAACATAGCTGAAGATAAGTTGAGCACACTTATTTTTCATCGTGCATAAGCAAAGTGGAATGCATTTAAATTATTTCGTTCGTCCACTCTTTATTTCAAACTCAGCTGTAAGGTTAGAAGCATTTGCATCGATCGGTCTATGTTAGATTGATTATTTTCAAACTTCTAAAAAATAATAAGTGCAATAAAATAACTGTTTGCACTAATGGTATGTTTGATTTCTCGCTAGATAACGTTTCGTTTGTTTTGAAAATGCATAACAAGGCTTTGCGAATTAATTATCATAGGGAAATAATATTTTGAAGCATCACGCTGCTCATATGCGACCCATTGGTCATTTGTTGCACCCAACTGTTTGCGGTGTACGATGATCTCATAGTTCACAGTGGCGTTAAAAATATAAATGTTGCATACCTGCCGTTGCGACACACGTCTTCGGAAAAGCGAATATCAGAAAAAAATTCAATCGCAAACGGCAAAACAATAATATTCCAATTCAATTTCCACACCAATGCCTAAGAAACAGTTCAACAACACGGTTATGGCAAAAGATGCCGGAACAAACAACTCCAGCAGCACATTCACATCACACTGTGATACACATCACACTGTGATCACACATCACACTTAGCACACTGTGATAAAACCTCGTGGCATAAAAATACGAGTCAGCGCAGTCAAGTAATCAGGAACGCGTAAAGTGATATTTCGCAGTCGTTATAGAAGTGAAGAAACACGGTAAATTACCAGCAAAACAACGGACTACATCCTAGACAAGCGGCAACAGCGCCCGCGTCAATCAATTCTGCTTCATCTTGAACGCACAAAAAAAAATCACAAAACCCCTTCCTGCATGCGTTCTGATACCCCCAACTGGGTCAGGCTGACACCTTGGCCAACAGAAGCGCTAATACTCGTATCTGTCACTGTTGACCTGGCGGGTGTATGGATAATTACAAAAGTAAGTGTATACAGAACGTCTGTCAATGGCAGCTGCTGTGAAGCGGGACCAGCATGAGTCGCCTCCGCGCGGCTGCAAACACCCGTCGCTCTGGCATTGTCTGGACAAACGGCACCGTCGTCTGAACACAGCTCGACCATGACACAGGGAACTCGGGTCCGGCCTGGGGGTCGCAGTGGCGGGGACTAACGTCACGCCGGCAGTGGTTGCGAATGCAGACAGTCGAGGTGGAATATTTGCTCGAAGTCTGCGGACGATAAATCTGTTTTCTCTCGTTCGTCTCCGCTGTTTGCTCTGCTAATGGCTTTGGATTGCTGGATTTGTTCCTGAGCTACATCCAACCCTTTCGAAACATGCCGTAATTGTCATGTCTTTGCTTTACTTGTTTGTGAGAGGGAGGCTACTTGAACAGCGAAAATTAACGACGGCTGCATTCCAGTCACGTGGTTGCCTGCTACCATAACACGGAAAGGCATAAATCATTTTCCCGGTATAGCGCTGCACGCTGTTGCTATAAACACCTCACCCCGATCGGGTGCCTCGCGCCAGACGAACGCCCCTTTGAGCCGCGTGCAGACCAGCTCACGTTCCGACAACAAACCGTATCCCATGCCGGCCGGGCGTGCCTGTGTGTTGATTGGGGCGCCGCGGTCACTCTCCCTCCCCTTACCCCTTCTCCTCTGGACGCCACGTGGTCAGCACTGGGGCCGCTGCCGGGGGGCCAGCAGTTGTTTCTATACACCTAATCTCGTCAGCGTCAGCGCAGAGGTATGTGGTGCCATCACTCGAATCAAAGCCAGCAGACGGTGTATAATTTGACAGATAATGTTGCGGTGACGGTTATCATTGGCAAAAATATTTTCCTTTTATTGGTGTTTTATTACTGTGGCAGTCCTCTGGCGATGAAATAGAAAAAGAGCAGCGCTTTAAATTTATAATTCTAGACCGCTAAATGCTGTAAATA